AATAGCTTCTGCCATAGTCCAACCGCATGACCATGCTGAACTCGACCTTATCTTGAATGGAAACTGCAACAAGTACGAAAAAGCCGTGCAGATACATGCATTATATTGCTAGATGACAAAAGACTACATATACATTAATTTTGTGTGTGAAACTGAAAGACATGCTGAAACGAAACTCACTCGAATATACTGCATGATACACACACACGCGCACACACGCACCCGCATACCCACCCACCCGCACGCACACACACACACACGCACATCTATATACAAGAGAAGGTGCATAAAAAGACGGAGAAGATTATTTAGTTCCGACTTAAAGCTGTTTTAAAACGGAATTTATATATGTAGGCGTTTGTGGTATGTAAAGTTTGAATATTTTGTTCTTGCTTCTTTTCATATACACTGTATATGTACAATACAATGTCTTTCATTAATGATTTTGCCAATGTTATTTATTCATAAAAGATAAATAAAGTTTATAACTTATCAAAACTATATCGATCAATCTCTATGACTCTTTAGATTGAAGAATACTTTTTTGAGAAGATATGGACTTTATCCATCAATTATAAATTACATTGTTACAATCAATTTTCATGAAAAAGGGTAATAAAGTTCATTCCAACTTTAAAGGCAACAGTATATTTATAATGTGTATAAGCAGAGTTGACTTCATATACATGTATAAATATATATGTCGATAGATACTTTTGATTATTAAAGCTGCATATACACTGAATTAGGTTGCAATTGATCTAGCGACTAATATGATTAGGGTAAAGCTCTAAAATATAAAACAATTAAGCATATATATACAATAAAACGTCTGTCACATGAGAAACACTGATACATTGATATTGACCAAAGAGTAGTATCTCTTTGAATTGACAAAGCGATTATCAAAATACCTTTAGCAAGTTTCCTTTCTCTACTCACTCAAAATGCTCATGATGAAGTTTTCATTCATCTGCTCAAAATTATTCTGTGGTAAGTTTAGGTTTCACGATTTTACAGCTCCAAGAAATTGACCGCGATAAAAATAATAGCGTCGTCCCTCAGTACATACTCCTAATCATTTTTAAATGCTTTTCAGCTATTGACATTTATGACACATTCTTTTACATTAATACCATGACTCGCCTTTAAAAAAAACCTCGCACTTGAATTTTGTGAATAACTTTTTATTCAAAATGTGCCTTGGTTACGACTAATGGGAGAGTAACAACACTACCTCATGCAAAGCCGAGATATGTACTTGCGAATAAAACCAACGATATGCTGTAGCTAGCACTTCACATGAAACTCCTTGATCCGTAATTGTTGTACTCATTTCCTCTTGAAAATTCCGAAGAAGCCCTTTGACCCGGAAGTGGTGGATCCATTGCCTCGCCTCTTGTTATCTCTCACGATCAGATTCTCGTCGGCACACGCCATCATGGTCTTGAGCATTTCGAGGAGCTCCAGACGTCTTTCGTAGCAAGGTTCTGTAGGTTTCTCCGTGAAATTCTCGATGAAGTAGAGCTTTTGAGCCAGGGCTCCCATGCCGATGGCTTGGGCTTTGATGGTAACCATCTGATCTCCGACGCTATCGCGATGGGTGAACACTATGGCTGGGCGAGAGCCTTAATGTAAACGAACCATTTTGGAAACAATAATTAGATTTTTGATATTAACAATAACTTTCCTATTTTACCAAGAGAATCCTTGTCAGCAGCATTGCTGCCCTTCTTGACGGCCTTGTAATCATTATTGGCCCAGCAAATACTTATTTACACCTTGGGAGGGGGAGTGGCTAATGTGGATTAATGTCTTGCCCAATTAAGGACATTAGTGCTTTGCTGGAATTCGAACCCTCTACCATAGAAATGAAAGTCAAGTTAATGAACCACGAAACTTCACAAATAATCGAAGGTGTCGGGTTTTGTTTAAAAGTTATTTACACTTACAAACTCTAAACGATTTAAATTCAAAGTAGAGAAATCGTAAAACTCAAATCAAAGGAGGCATATTACACATAGATAAAAAACAGAATCAATATTTTTTCGTCATAAACATAATGTGGAAACGACATAATTACCAAATTCGTTACAAATCGCCTTCACAAAGTCTGGTAGAAACTTGTGCAGTGCGTTAACCGGCTGCCCGGCACTGCAACATACGAACAAAAAATGATGATCATGATAATGAGAAAGTCTTCGCACCTACAAGACTTGGTAGTATTAGGATATAGGAATATGAATGAATGAAGAAATTCATGATTGCTTTAAAAGAAAAGAAATGATTCAATTGTCAAGACATTTGCTTGAGGATATCATTTACTTGTTGATCTTGATGAACTATGAATAGAACTTGTATTCAGTCTCATCATTTATAAAATCCTCATCAAAAACCGATCCCCAAACACAACACTATGTTGAACTAAATGTCTGTTATCAATGCTACATACATGTTCAATGATACTTTGCATCGCACGGGCTACATGCGGTGTTCACAGCCATACAGAGCAGAAAGATATATGGATCCGTATTGCATTCTATTAATATTGGAGAAATATGTAATAAACACAACCCAACCTCATAATGTATCACTCTTTTCTTTCTACGTATCTCGGAATAATCTTGGAAAGTTTTCTTAATTTCCAGTACGAATAAGGTTACGAGACGCTTCTTACTCGAAAACCAGGATAGGAAAATCGACGGTTCCTTCCAAAAGTTCGCATGTGCCGCCTGAAAAAGAAGAAGAGCAAAGTACATTGTATACACGTAGGTGGATTTTATTATTAAGGACAATCACCTCCGGATTGTAGTTTTCCAGATACAATATATCAGTGTATTAAAAAAAAAAGGAATTGCGTCTGGGACAGACCGTCAATCGAAAGACCATCCGAAATACGTGTTTGAGTATCGGACCGGGTTCGATCAGAGTCATGTAGGCTAGGACAGAGAAGCTGATCGGAGGACAGGAGGGACTTTTAGAATTGCAAGTCGACATTATTATTGGACTGCTACGTGTGATGTCCTTTTAGGCAGGCGATATGATCCGCGTTCTCAATGACATATTGAGATATTGTGCAATAATTGCACAATGCATATCGTACTGCTTTTACAAAATATCCAGCATGTGATAGGTATTGTATCAATAGCATTGAGTCGTAATTAAACACAAGGGTGTTAAATGTGGCCAATTTGACGTATATCTAATATTTTTGTTTAGATATTGGTACACGTTTTAAATGTCGTACCCTTCAAAATACTGACATAAATACTGTTTGATAATATACATATCAATAACAATCTTTTGTTATTTATTGTTATAGATTCTTTGCTTATTCACAATCATCAAAGTACAATTATAAGTATGTTTTTAGAAAAGGCCAAGCTTTATGATGACGTTTAGCCACATACGTATCTATTCTTTCTGCAGCAACCAGGCAAGTAGCCAATTTGAAGTTCATGTACAGGAATAAGGATTTTTTTTTATTGGAAAAAACCAATTCCTTGGTTTGCTAATGTAATAATATATATTTTGTTAGTCTTAAATTATGATAATGCTTATTGTTGCTATTCGAGTGGAAAGTATATAATCGTGAAATGGCCTACACATGTATTGATAAATGGTACTAGTCTTGAAAACAGAAATAATTAAATATTATATTAAGTCTCAATAATCTCTGATTGACTTAGCCCTCCGCAGGGCCTAGGAAGCATGAGGAATATTTGCGTGTGTCTAAAGATGTGGCAGTATATTTTGTCAGAGAGAGAAATTGACCATATACAACATCTTGTTTCAACATTCAACCATGTAACGTCGTAACCTGTTCATTATTAAAGACTACCTACTATAGTATACGCAGTAATGATTTTTTTTCCATGTTGCCGGAAGTTAGTCTAATTTTCTCAGACATCAAATTGGATCGTGGGGTGAACAGAATAAAATAATGTGAAATTGTAGGCGCATCTCACTCTTATCACCCGTTTTATTTTGTATATTTTTTATTTGATTTTATTTCTGCATTTTTTCCAAATAAAATATAACTGAATAACAAAGAACATAATATACATGTAAGGTATAATACAACATAAACAAACAATACTTTCTTAATGTCATAATGTTTTTTGTACATAATATGTGTACATATAATAACGAAACTTATTATTTCCATAACATATTATCATAAATTTAAAGTATTATCCGAACTATTCTGTTGGAAAAGTGCAGGAGACCGCAAACATAAGCAAAGCTTAACATTTCATTTATTTGGTTGCTTTATGTTCAGCAAAAATTTTAGTTTCGACCATTCATCTAAAACACAGCCACATGTACATGGGTATCGACGGTTTCAACACTGCTAAAATAGACTAAGGAACAGTTCAAAGTCTTAACATTACCATAAACTTTTTTTTTTTAATAGGATAATTTGGGTCTATTATTATACCGGTCAATTTTTATGTTTTTCTAAGACTGTTGTTCTAAATTGCTATACTCTTAATCAGAATAGACGTTGGATTGGAATATAACATTATTAAAGTTTATGATGGAGAGAAATGACGATGAAATTATAGGAAATAATGTTTGCGTCAAGCTTGTGAAAAGACTATTGCAGTCTAAATATACACGCCAATAAACACTATAAAACAACAATATTATGTGATCTTTCTGATGGACACCACGGAAGTTCCGTGATTGACACACGAGCAACGAGGGGGGGGGGGGGGGGGGGGGGGCGGGGGTATTGAGCACTACTCTTTTTTAAAATCAACACCCCCACCCCCACCCCCTTTTTTGTGCCCAGGGGAGGACGCCCGTCTTCATTTTGATTTGAAAACAGGTTTTTGGCCAGGGGAGGGACCCCCTCTCCCCCCCCCCCCCCCACCCTTAGATATGCCACTGGGGATAGCCGTAGGGTCGACGGTCAGTTGGAGTCGTGATGAGAGTCATGACACACTTGATCAGCTTAATGTCACAAATAGCGGTCTGCGTGTACTTAGAACTAGACTAGTCTATTACTATTATTTCATCGTCGATCCGTCGTCCCATGCCCTCCTCAGAGACAGACCCCGCCACAGAAGCCGCTAAAATGGTGTTTTCGAGATGTTTTAAGGTAAGGTTTGTTTTGGTTTTTCCTTAATTGTCAATAAGAGTAGTAGATTATATATATATATATATATATATCTTATCATAGCTTCATTAGTTGAAACTGTGTGCTTCTACCGCAGTATCCAGACTAGAGCTACAACATGGCCTAGGTATGGTACCGCGGGAAAGCCCCAAATCACCACCATTGGTTGAATGAATTGAGCCCGGCTGCGCCCGCCAGGCCGCCTGACAGGCCGCCTGCCAGGCCGCCTGCCGGCGGTGGCCTAAGAAGATGAGACTATAACTTCGTTAGTCAGTTAATTAATGCATTTTAGTACAAGTACTCGTCAATCGATGAGCGCGAACCTAGCCTGCATGTTCCTGATGTTGGACCGAAAGCCTTGCCTTTGCTTTGCCTTTGGTCTCTGAAAAGTCTGATATCAATGGTTATGGTTGTTCTGCTATACTAGGCCTAGACTCTAGGCCTAGGCTTAGCTACATGTAGCCTATACTATAGATCTAGATCTAAACATGATAAATAACTACGTCAGGCTCCTCCATATTCACTGCCTGCCTCTATACAGAGCTGACTGAGTGTGGCTGTGGGGAGGTTATCGGGGCTATCAACTTTGGGGAACTGCTTCGAGGGAGATTGTATGCAATTTTTTGTTGCTCAACAGGGAAGGGTAAGAAGTACCCAATACCCCCCCCCCCCCCCCCCCCCCCCCGATGAGCAAACAAAATCCGTACGATACAAGTACGCTGGTTTATTTTACACGTCTGGCGTGAGGTTTTTTCATAAACCAGGAGCTTGCGGGAGAGCAGGAGGAAGGGCGTGGTGGCGGGAGTCTCCTGCTACGAGCTGGTGGGACGGCGGGAGAAGGAGTGTGGTGGCATAAGACTCCCTCCAAATGCGGGAGGGTTGGCAGCCCTGGGTTATGCAATGCAGTTTGTGTGTGCATGAGCGCCGTACCCATCCTGCACAGTTCAGTAGCTTCACAAACTGGAGCTGGACAGATAAGCTGAAAATAAGTCCATAGATCTACACCTCTACAAATGAAAAAAATACAAATGGAAAGAATGCAAACTGCCATTGAAGAACGTGATACTACAAATACACGCAAAATCTTGTCACTCCAAGCAAACGAGCAGGAGAATTACTCACGACGGAACTGAATTCAGTGTACATGTAATTGTAAGTGCTAACAATATGGCACAGATGCAATCATCCTCAAAGCAGTCATTGAGACCTTTGGCCTTGGCATCTCTCTCGCCAATAGACAGAAATAACTGTCTGGTATGGGGAATTTTGAAATAAAATTGACATTTGTCAAAATTCCCCATACACAGACACATTTACGGTTATCCTTGGCATATGCACAATGGAGGGGGTGGGGGGGGGGGTCAATTAAAGATTTACTCCAGAATTTTTGCCTACTTTTTTTCATTATCTAGACAAAATGATATAGAAAAAAATGATTGAAAACAAAATTAATCTAATTTTCTTATACCGGTACTATGAAAATAACATTAATTGTAGAACATCAAAATAGAAGGACTTACATGTACTTTCAGCTTATCTGATGCTTTTCTTGAAGCTTCTGTGCGAGTTGAGATGGGTGATGACACACAAACTGCATTGCATAGCCTCCCCTCACTAACCCGTACATATAGAGACAAAATCTTGCCCAATTACAGCTAAATTCAACTTGTATACAAAGTGCATTGGTCTTTGAGTGGAAGAAAACTTACTGCAAAAAATCAATCCAAGAAGACCCTATCAAAAGAAAAATGCTGGTCTGCTATCCGCAACAAGATCCCATCCTAAACCACTAGGAGGACAAGTTAGGATGAGTTATTGAACTCATCCCCTTAATAAATTATAACAAAAATGTAAAAAAGCTAATCTCATGCAAATAAGATCTTGATCATTTGCCTGCAATGGATAATTTAGATACATACCCCCAACTACATATTTGGCTGGTACATATCTTGTACAATGAACCATAGTGAACATTTCCCTTGCAGTTTAAAGCCCCTCTAAAGTGTTGGGAGCCCCAAATTTGCCCCAAATTTGATGACAAAATTTCACTTAAATTGTATCAAAATGTGAATGACAAGGATGTCATTTAAAACACATTTCTGCAAGGATTTTCAAAAAGTTGTGTTTGAGGATAAATATTGATAAAAAAAAGAATACTTAATTTTGTTTTTCTGTTGCATGCAGAAAACGTACATTTTGTATTACTAATTTAGATGTTTTTAATTCCTAATTAGGACAAATTAACATACATGTATAACCTTATTTCACTCAAGGAACCTCCATAGAAATTAATGAGATTGATGAATATATTGGTAGTATTTGAGGTTTCATTCTCTAGCTTTCTCTGAAACATGGATTCATGAAAGTACTTCATTATTGTTCAATAAACAAGGTTACACTATGCCATGTTTACGGTATTTCAGATTCTCTTGACATTACTGTTATAGATGACATCATGACTCAGTCAATGTGATGGTTATTTTTATCTGACTGCTAAGAATGCATACATGTTTGTAAGTAAGCAACCAGACGGCCGACGGATTTAGGTCCTCTCCGAGGAACCTGGTAGTGAGGATTAATGCCTCACCAAACTAGCGCATCGCCTTGGTTTCAAACCCGGGTCACCGGATTACGAGACCACTGCTCTACCGACTGAGCTATTGCGCCTCCTCAAGTCAGATGATATTGAATCTCTTTTTACTGAAATAATCAAATTGGCAAGCTGATAGTAGTTAAATATTCAGAAACCCAAATCAAACATGCAAACATTTACTTGTACACTAGATGATTACCGGTATATAAGGATTAATGTTAACATTGACCATATTTATATTTGTACATGTACATGTACATGTATGCCAAATAGTGGTAATGATTTTGTTGGTATGAGTTACTCACATTTTCTATACCAGGGTAACTATTAAACAAGACTGCATCTCTGATTGAACAAATCTTTACTAATATGTAATGATGTACATGTATGTACCAGTATAACTCCTGGTATTCTTTATTGTGATGCAACTGATCACTTCCAAATTTCCAATTAAGTAACCAAATAATAACTCCTCCATCTGAGTCCTTCAATACCGTCAAATCAATGTTGACACTTAATTGGCCCTAAAGGTTGATGTACTGTACAATGTACAAAAATCTCCTGAAAAGAAAAAGGAATGAACTGAAAATAGCTGTAAAATACAACAACACCATTCTTGGATGACATTTGAGTTACATGTAGTTTGGTTGATAGTTGATACGCAATGAATTCTATGAATGCTTCTGAAGATAATTTAAAAAAAATAAGAATGTGTAGAAGATATTTGATAAATTATTATGCAGAACCAGACTAAATTATTATCCAGAATAGTGCTGCAACCGTGTATAGGCACGAACCACCACTACACAACAGATAAACGAAGAACAAAAAATCACCTGTTTTTCAGCATAAAGAGTCTGAAGTCAATAGTTCACAAAAATGTCTGTCATCAGTCTAAAAATAAAGTTCAAGTTCCACTGCTACTTCCCTGAATAATCATTTCCATACACTGTACGATTTTGATTCAATGCCGTTGAGTCAATTCTCTTGTCATCATGCAAACAATGCCAATCATTGTGATCTAACTTTCCAGCGAGCGCAATGGTTTTGTGTGCAGTATGGTTACTACACCTGTACAGTTACAACTTTTCCAATGCCATTGAGTCTTTTCTCTTGCCGTCATGGTAATAATAATAGGCAATTTTTGCAAACTCATTGCGGAATTAGAATCTGCGGTTCGTGTGCAAAATCGAGAAGATACTATAGTAACAGTTGGATGACCGCTGAGGCCCTGAAATCTAGAACGGGTTTTGGCCAAATCTACGGGCGTTCTCAATGACGCCCCAAGTGAATCAAGTGCCTCGATACAAACTATTTCATTCACCTGATAATAATAATAGTATTTAAATAGACAGAATCCAATCTGCATACATTAGTTGTTGCCACACTTAATACATGCAGTTTGCATTCTGACTATTGCGAATCCTAGACAGGTGAATGAAATAATTTGTATCGAGGAACTTCACAAAGACGTACAGTATGTATTAAATTTGATTACATTACGAAAATGGCCTGTTCCCTTCAACGCAATACAGTACATACGGGACTACACGACTAGCACAACTTGTCTCAACCAAGCCACAAAACGGCTTTTTATCAAATTTCAACAATAATTTATCATCAAGTTTTATAACAATTCATGTTATATCCATATTCATGTTGTTACTTTTCAGAAACAATAATCGGAAGAAACAAAACTCACCGAAGAGTCCTTTATGCCAGGGGCGGATCTAGGGGGGATAGGAGGTTTAAATCCCCCCTTTGGCTGGCCAAGGTGCTTTCTACCTCCCCCCCCCCCCCCCCCCGAAATATTGGTTGGCACTTTTTGCAAATTGAAAACAAATTTTAGTGCTCCGGCTCCCTACCCCCACTAAGCGAAATATTGGTCGGCGCGATTTTTCAAATGTCAACCCCGCCCGCCCACGCCATAGAAAAAAAGCTAGATCCGCCCGTTAAAATTCGTCATCCTTCGTTATTAGACGACAAAATTTTCATAACCATCTTTGGTACAAGCTCGCTGATTGGCTGTTTATTCACTTGGGGCGTCATTGAGAACGCCCATAGATTTGGCTAAAAACCCGTTCTGGATTTCAGTACCTCAGCGATCACCCTGCTGTTACTATAGTAGCTTCTTGATTTTGCACACGAACTGCAGATTCTCTGTCCGCAATTAGCTTGCGAAATACCCCTAATGTTTGTCGAACTGGCAACAACTTATGTATGCAGTTTGGATTCTGTCTATTGAAATACTATTATCCTTATGAAGTGAAAGAAATATTTTGTATCGAGGCACTTCACAAAGACGTTTGCATTAAATTTGGTTACATTACAAAAATTGCCTAATGGCATTGCAAATGCAATACCTCCGTAGAGATACGTACGCATTCAC